ATCAGGGATTTAGGACTAGTACAAGGAGTTTGAAATAGAAGTGTGAATTTTTGTCAGAGAGCAAGTGGAGGGTCGGATGTGGGAAAAGGTGGTGGGGACGACAACCATCGGGAAGAGTTGCATCAGTAAGCTGTGGTCAGAGAAGGAACAGAAGGGAATATATCCATGTTGTTTAGTGATTTTTCTGAATGGATAAAGAGTGAGAAACTAGAAAAACAGAACTTCTCCTGTTCCTTCTAAAATTTCAAATAACCTATTGAATAAAAGCATTTTTCGTTTACCTTCAATAACTGTGAAGGGGAACAGAAATATTGCTTCATGGCACAGAGAGCCTAAACAGAGCTGCTTCTCAAAAGCAAACCAAGGGCTTCCATCAGCAAAAAACTTGACCTGGAGAACGTCTCTCCTGAGCATGGAAGCTCCTGAGCAGGTTGCTGCTGCAGCAGGACCTGGGAAGTGTTGTGCGCTAGAGTGCTGTTGAGACAAACTCCTCGAAGACTTACTAACCAGCTTCACATCTTTGGGCTCTTGGATTTTATTATCATTTATTATTTAGTAATAACGACGATGAATACAGAGTCAGTCTACCAAAGGTTCATGAATCACAGCATCTTATCAGCATATTAATCAGCTTCTGGCAGGGAAAATTATAATAGTGTGAGCTATAACAAACACTTTTATAGTTTCACGCTTGAAGTCAAACAAGCTACAGGAGAGACTGATTCTTCATCCCTGATTCCACACCAACGAGCTAATCTATTTGCTGCAGGACTGGTGCCTTAGCAGAAGTGGATGAAAGAAAATGGGAAGGGTAACATGCTAAAGGAAAACCAGTCAGTTCAGCAGCTCACATTTGGGGCAGGTAAAGTGAATTTTACCAATAATAAAAAAGCAAATGAGACTCCTTAAATACATTTTAAAGTTAACCTCAATTAAAATGACAGCTTACATGAAGATCCAAGTTAATTACAGTCTGTTTTAATTAAATAGTAAACATTCAAACACTGTTTGCTGATGATGTGCTAAAATACATCAAATTAGCAAAGTGGAAGCAGTCGCCAGCTGAGCATGAGGAACCAGGACTTGCACAAACGCAGCGTTGGACAGATGTAGCTCCATCTGCAGCCAGAATATTGTCTCCAGGTCACCTTAGCTCAGCTCAGCAACCAACTCATTCAACAGCGAGAAAGCACTTCTAGCAGAAAACACCCAAGGCTTATTCTACTTTTTCAGTTTAGGAGAGAAAATGGGAAGGAGGTTACAATTCAACAGATCTGGGGGATTTAAGGACCCTGAAAAATGAGACATACTAACTACATGAGAAACCACCTTTGCTTAATAAATCTATTAGCTCAAATATGGAGAATGTTTCAATAAACATTTCTCTTATGAACTTCACACTTCTGACTTTCTTTCACCTAAACTCTATTTTAAAACTTTATTTTTTTTAGCTTAATTCTTATTTCCCATAAAAATTCTTCTAATTCAGACCACACTTTAAAAATCATTTAGGAAATAACTGTCTTCCACACTTCCTTTAAGGAAAATCAAAACAGAAAAATTAAGTATCTGAATAAATGTATGGTACATCAAATACTGGAGTACATGCCAAGTATTTCCCATTCTCCCTAACATACAAGCATCCAATTTGGTTCAAAAACTTGTATTTATCTTGAAATGGACACCTCTCCCTAGCACACCAGGTACAGCAAACAACAAGGAAGTGAGAATCAGAAGAAAATCAGTTTAAAACTGATTATTTAAATCAAAAGCAAACTATTCTCTATAAAGCATTTACATTTAGCATTAAAAAAACACAAGAGCATGGAATTCAACCTGCCAGTATCCTGACTACCATCCTTGTTTTCTTTCCACATCCATCCCACCTGAGTTTTATTCCACAAGGTTAGAAATTCATGGTTTATGCATGATCTTTAAAGACAAAAATTCAAGTAGTACACGTGCTGTACTAGATTTGGGGCAAAAAAACCTGAACTCTAAAGCAAACCAAGAACATAGCCTAGGGCTAACAACCTTTTCCTCAACTTTATTACGCTTCAGGTGTTTTGTTTTTTTTTTTTTTCCTCTTTCTTGCCTAATATAAAGCTTGGCATTAATTCTTTTTCAGTGTCATCCACTACTACAAAAAGACGATATTAAAAAAAAAATATTGTGTTTTATACTGTATAAATGCTATACCATATCCCAAATTAGACCTCAAATCAAAATTCTGAGACAGATGTCATACACTCTGTCTCATGAAGTGATCATGGGAACGGTTCATTGATTTCCTATTTCAAATTAGGGGCTCTGAGCAAACTTCCATTGAGCTGCCGATCAGGACTGAGACACTCGTTATGCCCCAAAGCCGTAATGAGCTCCCAGCACCACAGAAGGGGTTTGTACACGCGATGGCGGTCAACGTCCTCCTCCAGATCTACCACGGCATATGCCTTAACCATTATTTTCAAAGCAATCTCAAAAGGAAATATCTACAAACTCTTGAACTTCATGTTCCTCCTCTGAAAAGTCTATTTTGTTTGTCTCTTTGAGTTTAAATATCCTCCAGAATAGCTTGTAGCTACACTGGAAACAGATACATAGCTAAATGACGCATATTAAAGCAATGTGAATGAGGTCTAAGCATAGAAAGCAAGAATCAGATAGACAGAGCCTGGCACTTGTAATGCTGGAGACATGGCAGCTTTCTTTTAATAATTGTTGAGACCACCCTTCAGAGCTGCCTGTCTTTGATATAGAGAGGAATGGATTTGATTTTTTTCCCCTTTTTTTCAATAAAACTTTAGATCTTTCATTAAATTTTCAAACAAATTCGTATTTAAAAGGTTTTGTAATACTATTTGCCTAGCTCTTTGTTTAAACGCTTTTTAACCTAATGTCTATTTTGGGAATTCATTGTAAGAATTCAGCCCACTGACTCCTTACCTTACACCTGTGCAACAGAAAAAACAAGCACTAATACAATTCAGTTCCTGCTTCAGTGTCCTATGTTCGAACAGTCAACTGAATCTTCCCTTCTTTGCTTTTCTACTGACAGAACTAAGGACCTTGTTATATTGATCCAACTTTTTTCTCCAAGGTCACCCTGCACAGATGTCACTGATTTCATTTACTACAAACTCTGGAAGACAAACGCCTCAAGTCTGATGTTTGGGGAGAAACCAGTCTCATGGTGGCCACCTCGCCATAAGCCCTACCAGAGGTGGCACAAATTGGCCAAGGGAGACAATAGCTTTATATATTTAAGTGCACAGTATAATCTTCACGGTGATTAACCAGCAGGTTATTTTAGAAGATAACATCCTATAAACTTTGCCATTATTCAGAATGCAGTCATGTGGAATTCATTCATCTAAACCAGAAATCGTCCTCTAAAATTCTCCTTCTAGAAAGGTCAAGGTACAAACTATCCAATCTGCACCTCAATATTTAAACAAAATTGTCTTATCGAGTGCCACAAAGCAGCTTCTAAAACATTCAGGATTGTATGAAAGCAGATATAGAAAATCTACATTGAATGGATATTATGGTAGAGCTTTGAATATATGCAAAAAAAAAATAAAAGCAAAGCGGGAGAGAAGTAGACTCTTGTCCAAACCATCCTTGTGCTGGAAAGCACAAAATTGCTGTTCTTTCTAGTGCAGGAAAATAACTGTGCACTTATGAGCTCATTCTATCACCCAAGCACTGCTGGAGTCGGCAGTCCCCTTACAATGGTGGTATTTTTGAAGAGACTATTACTCACAGAAATATTTTTTTCCAAGCCTCTAGTGCTTTGACTGTGAGACCAAAGTTCCCCCGAGCTACAGTATCTCCAACAAAGCAGCATGCATAAATTTGATGGGGAAAAAGAAAGGGTGAATGAAAATGGGGCAAAACGCCTTTGAGGAACTCCCTGCTCCGCAGAGTATCGGACAGGCCTCCCCGCAGCAACGCAGCCAGCCCTACTGGTCTACCAGCTGAAATAGCTACCAAAGTCAATGAGAATATTTTGTAAATTAACTAGCTGAGAGCATTTGATGTTCATTTTCCATTCGCTCTTGACCACTCTCCTCCACCAAAGCATGTTCCCGAGCAATTTCACACATTAGGTAAAAGTCAACTCATACAACTGGAAATGCAAATATAAAGAAGGAAGTCTTAACACAATATGACACTTAATAGCTAATTACACCCAACAAAATGTTAGAAGAAGGAGTCTTAGAAGGCTGGTTTTGTAAGGTGCTTACAAGATCAGAAGAACACACAGTAAACATACTTCACAGGGAAAACCACAGATACACCTAAACTGAGATTTTCTTTTTCCAAAGCATTATTTCTCTCTGAGCTAAATTCTTTCCATATCAGTATGCTTTAGTTCCTCACTTGTTACATTATTACAGTAAACATATTTCAGTACCTTTTTCAAGTATTAAAGATGACATTTTTAGACAATTCAGTTCTAAAGATGGTCTTCAAACAGACATCCAGCTTGCTGTTCAACATAAGATTAACTCGACCAAAGCATAACTTGAAAACAATAAAATCAGTCAATAATGTAGCTTAAATCACCACCTATAACTGCAATAAGTGCACGTTCTCCAACTGATGGGCTCTCGCCTGTGGGATCCTCATTTCTATGGCAGGATTATTCCAGCACGTGCACCTGAGTTGCCCAGTTCAGCTCTGGAGGCAAGCCCTCCCAGCTGACTCCCCCAACAACTTCTTGCATGTTTTGTTTGTCTACAGAAACCCCCTTTTGATCCTTTTCTTTAGGATTCCCAGGGCATTCCCTTCTTACAAATTCAGATCCATTTCTTCTCATTAACCTTACCGCCTTGGTTTTGCTGAAGAGTTTTTCCTGCAAGTCATGTTCTCATGTAGCTCCCTGATGGGAACTCTTTCTCCCTTCGTTAAGGGATTAACCACTCATTAATGATCATCAGCTCTCACCACCGAATACGGACATTCTCAAAAGAGCCACTGAACACCGGTCCTACCTGTATATGCCATGTTCTTCGGGTTTCCATAGGGAGCCCCAGGTTGGACGGGGCTGTAAACAGGGTTCATGGTGGAAGACCGGGAACTCTGAGGACAAAAGAAAAGCAAAGTTGAGACGAATGCCTTACGCTAGCTCCAGAGTCATCTTCTGTGCAAAGAGCCTTCTGCTACCTGATAGCATTACCATGTTATAATTCAAGACACAGAGAGCTGCAAAGGAAAGGATTTACAACTAGACGTTACAACCAGATAGCATATTTAATAATTCAAGTTTGGGATCTCTCAGTTAATTTCCCTAACTTCTTCAGCGCTGCATATTCTGCCTACAAATGTACCCGGAGCAGATTAATCTTACACATCCCTGCCTTCAGGGGGGCTCAGGACTCATGACCCCACTTCTAGCTTGCGATGAACAAAGAGGAGAAGCCACAGATTCAGACAAGGAATTCTCCCCCTTGGAGGAGCTAAGTTCTTTGTCACAAAAACAACCACAATGAAGACCTGACCTTTCAGCAATTAGCAGATAAAAGACCATTTGCTGCTGGTGCGATGGAGAGCAGCAAATATTTGTGAGCTCTCAGCATGAGCTGTCTACAATAACCTCGAGCCCAAGGCGTGGGTCATGTGCAAGGCTGCGCAGGGCACCCAGTGCCACCCACCGCATCCCACCACTGTCCCAGACAAGGAGATGCAGGCACAGACCTAACGTGAGCAATGAGATTTCGACAGCCCTTCTGCTTCTCTCTCCAATAAAGATGATGAAGCAGTGCCAGGTTAGCTTCTTGTGAGTTTTATTTAGAGGAAAGCAAGTAACTGGGGAATTTGTGTCTACTAACTGTCAGTTAAGCAACTGGCTCAGTTAATTATCTTAATGAAGCACATTCTCAATTCTGATTAATGGGAAAATCAGTCATTAAGCTTTATTAGGCGACGCACTTGTCTCCGCAGCTATCTAGTAACAATTTCACACAAGAACCTCAATGATCTTGCTTCAAAATGTGGGGTTTTTAAAAATGTATTATTTTACAGTTCATAAATAAAAACATCCTTTCCAAACAAGTCTCCCATGATGGATGCACAATTTGTTAGATCATTAACTCCTTCCGCTTTACCTCAGGATAGTAAACAAGTCAGATGTTAAATGTTAGCACCAATTGACTTGACAACAATTACTGCTTAATTAATTAGCCTTCCCTCCACCCCCAAGTTAGCACAGAAGGAGCAATTCTCAGAGCAAAAGGAAATCACGGTTATAAAGCGAGCTGGAAGAGAGAGCAACACAGAGACACATATTTACACCAGCGGCTTCGGTATTGCACAATGGAGCTCTTAAAAAGATCGAAGGGTAAATCAGTGCAAAACTTTACATCCGTGAGATGCTACGGCTGGGGATTTATGTTCAAGCACAAGGGTTCTATGGTGATTAGGTCCTCCTGTCCCCAGGCAGTGCCACGAGTCTCGATGAGCAAGAGGGTGTTTGCCTTCTGGCGTGAGTTCTCGTTTACAGGAGAAAACCCAACGTCATCTATTTTTGAGATGGTGAACACCAGCTTTTGCAAGTGTCCGTCCAAAAGCCTGGTTTTGGGGCTGCCATATGGATCCTGTGCAACACAGGAGGTTATTTCAGTGTAGGATGTGGTGGATGCAGGACGCACTCATACACTTACCTCAAACTTCACAAACACGCGCATTGTATGTCCCCGTACGCTACATGATACCTGCCTGCCACTACTTTAAACACATACAACATTTTCATATGAACATGAAATTAAAAAATCATCTACATTCATGGAAATTATTTTCTTTTCTCTAGTGAAAAAAGAATGTTGATTTAAGCCCAACTGCCACATCTCTATTGTATGTTATTTCTCCAAACAAATCATTGTAGACAAGGCACCAAAGTGAAATGCCTCTCTCTGGCCAAAAGCACACAGGACACCTTTCACCTTACTTTTTCAGTGAGTTGAAAGCATCTGAAAGGAGATGGTTAAACAGTAACAAAGTGGGGGAATGTGCTGCCCAGAACTACCAGCATGACACAATGCATGAGCAGTATGTACTGCTGCTTTAAACGCAAGCCAGGAAGCCAAAACCTCCTCCTTTTCACCCAAAAGCCTCCCTCAATTACTTTTTTTTTTTTTTTGCAAATCGATTCCACACCAATAGTGGGAACAAGGCAAGAAGGTGTTTCAAACTTTTGATGGTCCTAAAATATTTTGACAAGGAAAAGCACAAAGATATGTCTATGTTAACAAACACTTTGGTGAATCAGACACAATCAGGCAATCGAAGCATTTTGTGCTGAGGCTCCTATGGCTACACCCTCTGCGCACTGAGGGTTTCCTTTGGACTGGATTTAGTCTGGTTCTCAGTCTGGTCCCCACCTGACGCATGGTCTGAAGTTGTCTAAAGGACATCACCCATATGTCCTTTACTGTTGTATCCATCACCAGTATGGACCTGTATGTCCCATGGGAGGTTGGAGGACGTGTGGTGGGTAACTGGAGTGAAGTTTCTGAAAGAAATCTGGTCCATGCACACCAAAACCACTTTGCACATGGAAACACCACCACAATCGGTGGGAGTCATCTTGGTGGGAATCATCTCCAAAGTGCAATACTGTTCTGAATAAAACACCGTTTTTATACACCGCCTAAGGGTTACTACTGGTACATGATGCTTTAAGTAATAAACACCACAAACAGGACTTGAGAGAAAAAGGAGGAGAGAGGTGTCATAGAGCTGCAGAGGTTTCCTGACCCTAATTAACTGTTAAATCACTAATAGGACTCTTCAAGTCCAGACAATAAATGCCCAGTGGGACAGGGAATGTGACAAACATCTATAAAAAAATAAATCACAAATGACCTGGAGAAGGTAGAGAGGCAGCAGTCACACACTCTTTCTCATAACCCAAGCAAGTGGAGGCATTAGAAGAAATAATTGTGTTGCAGGTTCAAAACAAGCAAAGGGGGTAGCTGGTTGCTTTGCTTGCCTCAGCACATCCCTCCCTGCCAGGATAGCGGGATTTGGAAAGCCTCCCAAGGGACAGAGCAATTCCTCCTCTCCCCTAGACAGCCTTTTAGGAAGCAAGGGCCTTTGACCATCCAGCCATCCTTTTGTTCCCAGGAGAAAAGCCAATATGCAGGCTCCATTTTAGCTGCCTGGCCACCCAACTAACACCTGACATTGGACTACGCTCTCCACAAACGTGCCCATGGTGTTGAACGGTGGCTCCTTGCACGGTGGCCACTGTGAGATCCCTGCAGCAATACCAAACAGCTGCAAAAAGCCACATCTTACCCATCGGTCAAGCGCAGGCATGTGGCTCTTTCTGTTGGCCATTTCAGAGGATCTGTGAGTTGAGGATGCTCTGCGACAGAGCTAGAAAGTGATGGGTCCATCTTACTCCAGCCCTATATTCTCCTCTCACACACAGAGACCCAGCTGAGCCCTCCTGCCCAAGAAATAAAGTTTAAGGAGGTCTCTTTTCCCTCCACCTTCCAGTTGAATGTGTATTCCTCCACCCAGAACCGCCCAGTGACTGCTAGACCTGCTCCTGGGCAAGGATGAAGTCATGGCTGTGTTTATAAAGTGCCTTGTTCAATGCAGTCATCATTTGATTTGAGCTTTTCTGGGTGTGAAGAATACAAATAAATCATAATTTGGTGAAAATTACTGTGTATGACTGGCTTGCATCAGGTGTTGTACCAAATGGTAAAAAAAAATGCTTATTAAGAAGGATGAAAGAAAATGCTTTTTAGCTGAGATAAAAAGATGGTAATCACGTTAGGGGTTTGAGTGTATTGTGAGGAAGAGGTTTATGCTTCCTCCCTGCTTGGTATGCAGGGTGTTATTTCCAGCCAGCAGGAAAGAGTCCACGCAAACGGCATTTCAGATGGATGATTTTCTTTCTTTTCAGCATCTAGTATTAGAGCACATTCAGATGAGCTTCCAATACATTCTGCAAGACAATACCATTCAAAAAATACATTTTAAATTCATTACAGGCACCGCATTGTGGCATTTGAAAAGCTACACTGAAATGGGAATAAAACAGGATTAGCAAAATTAAACCTCCTTCACCACAATAACTTGCAGCACTTGCTTGTGGCCATGAATACACAACAAAAAGACTAATAGAAATGAATTATAAACAGACAAACACAAGTATTGCTCTACTGCATGGAGCTTCCACTGCCTCCTAATCCCCACGACAGGGACGCTCAGTTGCTCAGAAGCTGCTGAGACTCCAGCAAGGAGCTGAAGGAGCCGAACTCCTGCAGGAATGCCATGGGAATAAGCTGCTAGCAAACAGTCTCGGGATACTTTCTGGTATCTGTAACCTGGTTACATTTTCATCTACTTTATCTTTCCTCTGAAAGCGCATGACATGCCTCCATCACACTAGGAAATTACTTCAGATGAAGGGTAAACAGAAATACAAGAGAGGTCAGTTGTCGGGTGGCCACCACGCCGTCAGCAGGCCAGCGCACCAGGCAAACCGAGTTTGCACAGGGGATTTCCGAGCAGCACGAGAAGGGAAATGGAAATGTCTGCACTGTGAATGCTGAGCTTGAACTTGTTGTGCTGGGAAGTGGCTGTAGAGCTACGCTCGGCTGCTCTCGCCTCGCCGGACCAGCGCTTGGGCTTCGCGCTCTGCATCACGCTCTCCCGTGGCTGCCAAGGGAGAGGACTCTGTCCCCCGTCCTTGGCGACACCCTGGGACATCACCTACTTCATCCTCCTCCTACAGCAGCACTCAGAGCACTCAAAAACCAGCACAGGTATCACCACGACCTTCAATCTATTACAGACTGAAGACAATGGGAACATCCTACCCTGATACCGTTAGTTTACTTTGTGTCTTTGAAAACGCCGTGAACAGCTTCACTGCTTCCCAAAAACATTCACACCTTCAAATCTTGGCGGGCGTCAGTAACTTTTAACACATAAATAAACCTTAACACATGTATTTCTATGCACACATTGGTGGATCTGGCATCCTATACACCTCTATCACTCTGATATACAGAAATACAAGTATTTCCCACTTCCACCCTACAGAAGCAAAGACAGACAACAGT